TATAATTTTAATACCCTCGAAGTCGCTAAACTCGAACCTTCTTAATGTCAGTTCGTTTATAGAGTCTTCGAGTCTTTCAATCCATTCATCTTTTAATTCCAAACTTTCTCTTGAAGACATTTGCAATTTTCAAAATGCGTAATTTATAGCGGAAATTTTTTCCAAAAAATAAAAGACATGGGAGGTGATACTTGTGAGATGACCCGGGTTTTTTGTATACTAAATAAATTGTTGCACAGCATAAGGTATTTTGTTTGGGTTAGTACACAAAATTCTTATTTGGAAATATAATGATGATTGCAAATCTTAGAAACCCGAGAAATATGTTATAATATTTTTTCTTTAAAATAGTTGAAATAGTTGAGATAGTTAGGATAGTTGATATAATTCGATTTGAATAATTTGAATATCCCTGAATTTGAATTTGGCATCGAGTATGTCATTTATTAAAATCTGACACCAAAAATGTAAGGGAGTCATGCGTATTTACAAATATAGCTATACAAAAAATACATTTCACATTTTATAATACACAAAAATGACACATTTCGTGATGCTGATTACACGCAAGACACTGAAAAATAACAAGTGAATCCGTTTATGTCATTATTTGAGAATTATGAATTAGTTAACGACTATCTGAGAAGAATATAACTGAAATCTTCAATATTAACTGGACGAGTTGCACCTATTTTGGTGATTCTAGTGACTGAATGGCAGATATCAGGGACTCCCGTCTGATGACGAGCCCTTTAGCAAATAAAGAGGAAGGTGACAAACCAATTGAATGTTATAAAGAATCCAAAGCACGGGGAATAAACGTACCATACAGGAATTTGCCCTACCCATATACCAATCGCCGTACCGTTTGGAAATGAAAAAATGGTATCGTTCCAATTTACAGCACCGCTCGCCACGAGGTTCGCAATGAAAGCCACTTTTGTCTGGCCTGGAATTCCATTTCGACAGTTTGGCATAGCAGGAACGTCATTAAAGCCTGCGTCATTCCATTGAAAGACAAGCGCAGGCATATCCTTTTTTAATTCACGTAAGAGAATAGTTGCGGTGGTAGGATCTTGAAGGGCCAAAGGAAGGTTATGTGATTCTAAAAACGTAAAGATAATTTTTGTGATTTGTTTCCAATACTTTCATTTAACCACCAGCTTTACCTACCTATACCGCACTTATTTCTTGAACTAATTGAATGTGAAATCAGTTAAAATCCTACACTAATGTTAAAGCAAAGACTCGATACCTCTGTGACGAAGTTTTTGGAAAAGGTTTGACATTTTCTGTGATGGTCGCTTTTTGCAGATTTACGAATATATGGCCTAAAAATTATGATGTACAAATGATGGAGATTAACTTGTTTATTTTTTTTGCGTAAATGACCATGACCCCAGAATGCAATTTATTACACGTGAAATTTTCAACTTTATATTGCTATTAAGAATGCCGTTAAAAACGAATTACTTTATCCCTAGTTGACCCTAGTTAAAATTTTATTAAGGACACTACTAGGGTCGACTTTTTAGTTTTCTGGAGCTGTTTAATTTCTTTCTTTTATCCTTGTCCCTAGTGTCCTTAGGAAAAAAAATAAGATTCTAGGAAAAAAATTTATTACCTCATGGTATCTAGAGTATATATAGTAGATAATACGTATACATGCATATAATAGATAAAAAAAATAAATAAAAAGAAACTCGAGATTTTACTAGGGACAGCAATTCGAAAAAAGGTTTTAGAAACTGAAAAATGCTAAATCACTGGCCTCACTTCCGGCCTCAGCTATTTTTTTTTCCTAGAGACAACTTTTACCTGTACCGGTTCTGCTGGAATGGTCGAAAAATCTAGTGTTGTGTTATCTTATCCAGCTTTTTCTGATAATAAATGTTTTGGCGTGATGCTTCCCAATATGTAAATTGCACAATCCATATGCTGAAGCTGTTGCTCTACTGTATTGTGAACAAGGGATGCGTGGACATTTTTTCCAATACAGTGCACACCCTTCTTGCCGATAACAAGGCCAATTGCAAATCTCCCCTCATTAGAAAGATACTGGCAAAGATAAGTTTCTGTCATTAATTATTATTTTGTTAAAGCCTACCTATTTTTGTAGTAATATTATCTCAGGTAAAAATATTCAATATTTATTTTCGATTAAATTTTTCTCAGGGTAATATATCACAAAAACCACTCAAGTATCAAACCATAAATAAACAAAATTTTCAAAAAAATATCAATCACACACTAACAAAGGAAGGAACATTACTTTCTCGACAAAAAAATCAGAAAAATGCTAAAATTTCAAGCTAGAATAGAGGAAGAAAGTAACAGGGGCTTCTATCACTAGAGCCAAAGCCAAGAGTGTAACTTAATACATGCATAAAATTCATAATGATAGTGTAAGGCTAAGAGAATTCATCAGTACAAATTCCAAGGCCGGAATAGAAAGGCCATTTACTGCATAAATATTTAGAAAGCAATGAACTATTTTATCCTATTATCAATTTCGATTTGTTATGTGAAAAACTAAATAAAATCAATTCTAAACTTATACATAAAGATTTATATATTATCCTCTCTTGGGTCTTTAAAGAAGCATATATTCAAATTGAAATCACAACACCTTAACAATTGCTGATAACAGTGATCAAAAAAATTTTTTGCTTCATATATCTAAACTTTCTCAAAAATATTGTCAAAGTTGTTATATTTACTAAACTTATTCATAATAAACTTACAGTATGTATACAAAATAAAAAAAATATAGATAGTATTGCAAATAAAAGATTTTTTTCTTTGTGAATACTTGAGATACCAAAAGTTATTGAAAAAACAAAAGTATGTATGAAAAAGAAACAATTATTTCTAAAATATAGAAATATATTGACTTTAATTTTCACTTTTCTTATGAAGAATATATATGGTCCAATCATGGATACTTTAAAGTTGAATGTAAACAATTCTTATACATTCACTTTGAAACTGAATATAAACTTATAAAGTAAGATATTATTATATCTAATTCTTCTATACCTGTTTCGTGATTAATTATAAAATGTAATAAAAGTATATAAAGTAGTAAAACCAAGCTTGAATTAGTAAGGTAATTACTAAAATACAGTCTATTACGAAAGTCTTTGGATTTTTATTTTAGTTTATAATTTAACAACTAATTAATAATATTCTTTAAATTGTAATGCAGAAAAATTTGTTTGCATATTTAAAATTTGAATAAAATTTTAAATATTAGTTTTTATAATTTACTTGTATTATAAAAAAATATAGTTTAAAATATTCTTAATTAATTTTATTAAGTAAAAAAACCAAAATTTTATTGAAAATTTTTAAAATAAATAACTTTAAACTTTGTGTTTAAAATTTCAATATAAAAAATTATGTAAAATTTAGTATATATTGTTACTGCCTTGGGAGAGCAAAATGAGAATTATGTCAATTTAGACTTACAGTAAACAGGATGTTCTTATGAAATAAAAGAAAATAAGAACAAAATAAAGATAAATAAAAGAAAATAATCAAAAAAATATCAAAAAAAATCAAAAAAAGATGAAATTCACAATGAAATATATTGAAACTTTCAGTTCCTCCCTTAACAAACTTCAAAATTACTGATAAAAATAATTTTCAATTCTCAATGATAATTTATTCAACATATGTTTTGTTTCAAATATTATTAAATAAATTAACGTGAACAATTCAAAATTATTGTTTTAATTAATTTTACAACTCTACTCTGATATTGAAATAAAAAGATAACAATATATAAATATTAAATTTCAATAAAAAACAATATAAAAATATAAAAGAAAAATATGGATAAATATAATTTTATTAAAAGAAAGTTAAAAAAAATACAAAAATTTAGAATTTTATAATTATGATAATTGTTCTTTTTTTCACAGCTGAGAGGAAATTGCAGCCTTTTTATAATGTTTTGGTCAATTATTGATCACCTCCAATTTAATTATTTGTGTGGTTCATCTATTTACACAAAAGAATTGTCTAGAGAATTATTTGTTATACTTAAGATAATTATCAAAGAAAATTCTCATCTGTAAGATAAAAAGCAAAATTACTCAAAATATCAGTAAGACAATTACTTTTGAGGTTTTAACAAAAGTTATTCTTCTAGTCTTTTTGCAAATAGTTACTTAGAACTGAAAAGAAGCTTCGGAACTTAGTTTTTGAGCTACGGCGCTCCGAATTTACTGCGCCGTTCAAAACTATATACAGTATGTCTCATATTTATTTGTAAAAAAATTGTCAGCGATCTGTACATATACAGGATGGTACCACCAAATTTTACAGGTAAAAAAATTGATCTTCGACAAACTTCCCACATATTCTTGACCCCTCGTCTCTTCTCTTGCAACGTGTGCTGAAGTTGAAATGACCGCCACCACCCCCCAAAACCAGAG